TACATTTGGAAAAAGAGGAAGGTTACTGTACATATAAGGCAGGGGTGTCTCCAACCTTGGCAACTTTAAGACCTGTGGACTTCAACTCCCAGCATTTCTCAGCCAGCAAAGCTATTTGAGGAATTCTGGGATTTGACGTCCACAGGTCTTAAAGTTGCCAAGATTGGAGACCCCTGATATAAGGGATTCCCAAATCTTTCCCCTGGGTTTGTGTACCTGGGATAGAGATTTACAGTTTGGTTTTGCCTTTTGGTAGGAATCCTTGACAGAAATGATAAAAGAGGGCATATTTGAAGAAATGTTCCTTGAAAAAAAGAAAAGTTTTGTAAGTTTGAGTTGATTATTTTCTGTTGGGATTTGTTAAACCAGAAAGCACACCCTTCCAGTTGATTAAATATGTTGAGTAAGTCTTAATAACTGCTCCCGAAAGAAGTTGTTAAGTCTGTAGAGCAAAGTTGTGTTCTGTGGCTAGAGACTGAGACTTTGGAGCAAGCTCTCTTTATTGCAGAAAAGCAATCTTGTCTCTTAATAACCTCTATGCTGACCCTTCACGGAATAATTTATGGCCAAGTGCAACCCGGTTTGCTATTATTTCCAGCTTATTGATTTCTTACTGGGCCTAAAGAAATAGGACACTTCTTTCTCACCAGTTCCTTCTTTTGATCACAGGGTGCTTTTGAATGTTACTTTTTTTGCTGCTTTTGTGGATGTATTTGTGCATTACGGTAACTCCTGGAACATCTGTTATTTTTAAGGGTCACAATTACTCTTTCTGCTGCCAAATGCTTAATGCAGTAGTTTTGGGTTGCCTCTGTAGAATTTATACTGCTCCTTACATTGCACAAAACATAAATCATGGCTTACCAAATGTGCTGGGTTCATTTATTATGCTAACCCACAAGCAAACAAACCATATCCTGGCTTAATGCAATATATGTCTAAAACTACAAGCAGGTGCTATAGCTAGTAGGAGGTGCTCCTAAACTAGTAGGAGTTAGCATTTATTTCACGTTTTTTAATTTCTTAAAATATTGAGATCAGCAACAGAAGTGAAGCACAATGAAGTATTCCAAGGGGCCACTAGTTATCCCCGACAGTCCAGCCATGATCTGCATGCATAATTCAACATTGGGACATTGATTCTAGTTTGCAACTAAAAGAAACCTGTTCAGAATTGAAGAGCCTTGTTTATTTTTCGCAAATTAACAGGGAATCATCATTATCTAGCTCCCTTCTCTGCCTAAAATACAAAATGCCAATCTAAGCTATCACACTAGAAATCCAAAGGCAATTTGAATATCTTGTCATACATGTGTGGACATGTCTTTTTGTGCTTATCGGTGCTGTGTGGACTGAATAATTTTTCACCTCAATCCCTAGTAAAAGTAGGAAAGGGTTTATTCAATTTTTTTAAAATTCCTGGATAGTTGAATTCTCTGTGATTAAATAGTGTTCTCTGCAAACCTGAAATCAATTAACGACATGTTTAAAGAGTTAAAAATAGTCTTATTGTACCCCAAAGTACCTTTTGGAAATCAAATGAGATGCACTGCCCAGTCTTACAGATAGTCCTTGCTTAATGACTGGACTTTTTTTAAAAAAACTTACAACCTAGCCTTGAAGTACCTGCTGCATATATCTGTGGTCACATGATAGCATTTTGGGCTCTTGGCAACTGGTTTGCATTTATGACTGTCATTTATGACTGTCATGGTCATGTGACTTCAATTTGGGACATTTTTTTTTTGCCATTTTCCAACAGAAAAAGCAAAAAATATCTACAGAATATGCTGGATTTGCTTAATGTCTTGGGGGATGACATTACTTTATCAAATAGATACAGTGCTCAAAATTTTGGGAAGAATCTATTTTGTTTTTTTAATCTTGGTCATATAAATCTTATCAGAAAGCTTACATACCATGCTACCTTTGTGATTTAATCATTTATTTCTGACTTTTGATAGTATTATCTGAGAGGGTACACAATATAGAGGTTTAAGAGTTGCATGTGACCCAAAGTTCGTAGTTCACTGTTTTTAGTGTGTGGAACAGGAAATACTTACCTGAATCTGTCATTGAAGTTGAGGGGTATTGGAGGCAAAGCCCCAAGACAGAAGGTGGGACTTTAGCGTGAAGATAGAAGTCAGTGGTTTGTTTTTGAGATCTATGTGCTTAGGCTGCCCTATACCACATGATCAGCATGCAGCGTTCTTCATTTACTTTAATTATGTGTGCTGCCATCATGTGAACATGTGCATCTGGAGAAAAAAAATCAAGCTAGATGAGAGCTAATTGGTTCACAGGTTTTGATACTACTATTTCACTTGTTAGTGGAGATTGTATGCATTGGTTCAGAAAATCCATCGTTCTGCTTGTTCATTGATGCATCAGAAATAAGTTGGAGCAGGACAAATCCTTTTAAAGGTAAATAGTATCTTGCAAAACTGACCCACAACACTCTACAAATGGTTTTGTACAAGAACACTGGCTGCCCAGTTTAATTATCTCACTTTAAGATTAGCCAAAGAATACCCAGCTGGAGGTAGCAATAGCGCTTAGACTTATATAATGTTTCAAAGTGCTTTACAGTGCTCTCTAAGTGGTTTACAGAGTCAGCATATTTCCCCCAATAATCTGGGTCCTCATTTTATCCATCTCGGAAAGATGGAAGGCTGAGCCAACCTTGAGCCTGGTAAGATTCGAATTGCCAAACTGCAGGTAGCCGGCAGGCAGCAGAAGTAGCCTGCAGTACTGCACTCTAACCATTGCGTTAGAAGCTCCGTTGGGGCATTTTCTCATTTCTGATCTCTGGAGACTGAACCCCACCTGGCCTCCCTTGTCCCTAAGCAATGCCTTTTGACTGTGAAATGTGCCCAAAGGCTCTTTGGATTTACTCGACTGGTGTGCTTAAGATTTTTCTCCGGCCTCAACTCATCAGCATTGAAGAGCAGCGTTTAGACAAGTGCCAAGTAATGAGAACAGCCATGAAGTGCAGGTTGCTGGAGGGTCTAATTACACCTCGAGTTATGCTGCTTTGCCCCCCTCACTTCCTTTTCTCCCATCAAGATGATGATTAGCCCTATTTATAGGGGCACTGGTTTTTACTATTCAGTGCAGCACACCTTGTGCCAATCAAATCAATATCATCTGCATTTTTGATTACTGCTTAATAACACCACTGAACATAGTTTAATTAAAGGAGGATAAAAATAAGTTTTATCTCTCTCTTCTTCATCTGACATACCTGAGTATCTGCTGCTGCCTCACTTACACAAAATAAATACAATTTGTTTGCCTGCCTGCCTGCCTGCCTGCCTACCTGCCTTGGAGACTGGCACATCTTTACCATGGAGATCTGCTAAATCAAAGCTTATTCTATATTGTAAGATAGTCTGATTTCTGTTCCAAAGCCCAATACATAATGCTGTTCTCAGTGGACATAAGTAATATATATGAAGGATCTCTCTATGGAGACTCTCAATCATCCAGGACATGGTTGTCTCAAAGGTGTTTTCCAGAAGGCAACTGGACTTTCTTGGGTTCTTTTTCCTTGAAAACGTTTTGATTGAGTTGAGATACAATATAGATAGTCCCCAACTTATGACCACAATTGAGCCCAAAATTTCTGTTGCCCAAGTGAGATGTTTGTTAAGTGAGGGTTTTTTTTCCATTTTACGACCTTCCTTTCCAAAAATTTTAAGTGAATCACGGCTGTTATTAAATTAGTAACCTGGTTGTTAAGTGAATCAGACTTCCCCATTGACTTTGCCTGTCAGAAGGTCGCAAAAGGTGATCACCTGACCTCGGAACACTGCAACCGTCATAAATATGAGTCAGTTGCCAAGCGTCTGAATTTTGATCACATGGCCATGGAGATGCTGCAGTGGTCACAAGTGTGAAAAATGGTTATGTCACTTTTTTTCAGTGGTGTTGTAACTTTGAACGGTCACTAAACGAATGGTTGTAAGTCAAGGACTACCTATACTCTCTTCTTGAGCAATTTTGTTGTGTCAGTTTGAATTGATCCACTATTCAGCCTTTTCAACTTCCCAATAATATTTTGATGATGGGACTTCTGAATCCTATAACTCCATTAAGGTCCAAAGTGCAAAGATAAATTAGCAGAAAATAATCTGGTGCTCACATAATTCCTTGTAAATGCCTAAGTCCCATGGTAGCTTGAAATTATGAAACTTGTCTGGAGGCAGAAGGCTGGAGAAAAGGTTTGGTAACAAAGGCAAAAACTCAGATGTTTCCGTTTGATTTTTAAGCAGGTATTTCTAGACAAACAAAATTGGGTGTTAGAGGTTAGAAATGGCTCTCCTCAAATCTTCTGTGGTTACACCTTTCGCCCAAATCCTGGTTCTTCAGGAAAGGAGCTCTAATTCCAACTAACAGAATAAGAATTGTGTGATTCTGACGTGGTACCAACAATGTTATATTTTATTTGATGCAAAGAAGAATAAAGAAAATTACATGGACAAATCAGATTTGTGCAACACAACAGAAATAGGTCTTCTAGTCTTTGATGTTTACGTGAGTGGTCATTACCAATAATAGGAGAAATTGTTTGTGGACATCCAGTGTGCGGTGTTCACATTGAATTATATGAGATTAATGGGGTTGTTCAACATCTGGAGAAGCCAATAAAGGAGAATATTGAATCGTTGAAATGAGGGGTTCTTGGCCTTCTTTGAGCTGGGTTGTTTTCTTGCAGATGTTTCATTACCCAACCTAGATAACATTTCCAGTGCTAGTCTCTACCACTGATGATGTTACCTAGTTTGGGTAATGAAACATCTGCAAGAAAATAACCCAGCTCATAGAGTACCAGGGGACCCATCATCTGGAGAAGCACATTTTGTCCCTCTTCTAGAATTATCCGTTTTAAAAGTTTTCTTGCAGCAAATACCTAGTAGAGCAAACTGAGGTCCCTTCTAATTTAAAAATGAAAGAAATGTGTTTTCCTGGAATCAAATGGACTGTTGGTTTCTTTGCAGGTGAAAATGTCCACTATGACCCAGAAATATTTCCCGGAAGGTCAGGCCTACTCTGTTCCCCTCATCCAGCCTGACCTCCGCAGGGAGGAAGTTATTCATCAGATAGCGGACACACTTCAATATTTGCAAAAAATCTCAGGTGACATCTTCAACAGGTAAGGGTCGCTTTATATTAGAACCCGAGAAGGACAAAACTGACATACGCATGTCTTTTAAATAATAATGGCTCAGGACATGAAGAAAACTGCATAGTCAGTTGATCTAGTTTTATTCTGTCTCCAGTATGGATCGGTGTTTCGAAAGTAGTTCTCATTTGTCTAAGTACGAGAATCTTCAAGGAATTCTCATGGGTGTTGTTGGTAAGAGTGCAATTTTCCAAATATAGCTGACTTTGGAAAGAGCGATGTAATTTAGATTTGATATATGCTTTGTTAGTATTGGGGACAGGTTTAACCATTAAATTGGGGGTATGATATATTACTGTTGCACCAGCAGCTACTGGGTGGTTTATTGTCATATTGTCTCTACAGCTGCATGCAAACCACAATTGTAACCTTGGAGCTACAGAGAGGCTGAAAATATTCAGAAAGGGACAGCCAGCATGATTAGGAACCCAAGGAAAGATTCCAGTACAGTATTCAGGGCTTTTGAACTTAGAACCAGGGTTGAATAAGCAGAGTTAAAAATACGTGTGGGTTTGAAACAACGAACAACTGTTTCTTCCTCCTCGCTGTTGCTGAACATTGTCTTTTGAAATTAAAGGAGGGGAACATCAGGAACCAATCTTTCAATGGGATTTATATAAATAAAAATGAATAACCCCCAATTTACTCATGAGAAGTTATTTCATCTTTCCAAATTCTGCAGCATCACAACTGTAATTATTTTTCAAAAGGGCATACCTCAGTTACCAAAAGGTAACTTGTTTCTAATCTAAGACCAAGAATTTTTCCTGTTGGTCCATGTGGTGGACCAAATTATACTTCAGTTTCTTTATGGATCAGTATACATTAGAAAAAGGAAGCTTCAAATTCCTGTTTCATCTAATGTTAATGACCAGAACTTCCTATCAGATTGTTCTGAAGGATCCTCTGCCGTGCCACAGGTCTTGATTCTCTTGCCTACTTAATATCCACATGAAACCATTGGTGTCAGGCCCCAAACCAAGAACAACACACGGTGATTCCTTCAAGCTGAGTTTTGTATTGTTTTCATAGCTACAGACAAAATCCTGCCAGACCAAGCAGTTCCCGGTCTGAATCTACAACATGCTCTGAACTGTTAGGGAAGGACCATCTTCACTCTCTTTCTTTCAAACATAATATCAGGACTGAGTTGCCTCTTCTGGAATGCACCCCCTTCTTTTGGAAATCCAGCTCCTTACTACGTTCCATCACAGTTGGGGGAGTATGGTGTCGCGTGTCATTAGTATGTCAGTCCTCAGCTTGACTTCAGGTTGAACAAAGTCAAGGTACTGTTAGGGTCTGCAACAGATTTAGGTTCAATCATAGCATGATGAAAAGGGAGTAGGTTCAGAAGTGATACAAGACTGGTAATATTCCATCTTGGATATTCATGCTAACCTGGTTTGTAGTCCCATGGATTTATAGCTACTGTTCAAGGAGCAGCTGGCAACTATGGCAGTGAGAACCTTTGCACAGCTCCATCTTGTCCTTTGACTGTGTCATATTTTGTATCAAGAGGCGCTTTCTTCAAGTCTGTCATGCCATAGCCACATCTTAGATGGACTATTACGATACACAATACATGGGGCTTCCCTTGAAAACCCTTTAGAAGCTATATCTATTCCAGATTATAGTGGGCTTACTTATTAAAGACCTCATTTCATCAGCAAAACAGTGTTGTTTCAGAGGCTGGACTAGAGTTACTAAGTGACTTCAAAAGGTAGGTTGTCACCTTTAAAGTCCTTCATGACCTAGGTTTCTATGGAATTGCCTATGCCCGGTATCATCATCTGAAAAAGATCCAGGTAGGAGGGCACCTTTGGGGAGTGTTATTATCAAGGACCAATGGAGTGGGCCTTCTCTTTCATTGCCCCCTTTTCTGTAGCACAGTTCTGCTAAGGTTTCGGAAAGCCATTAACACCTACCTATCTCAAAGGGCCTTGGGTTACCGGCATGAGCATGGACCCTTCCTGCATTGGTTCTGTTGTTTCAATACTTGGTTTTGTTGTCCCTTGCAGTGGTATTTGGTTAGATTAGGTTATTTTGTTAACATCCACTACTTTTAATCCTCTTACTATAGTAGAAGCCCATTTACACTCCAACTCACATACAGTTGCAATGGCATGTGATCTTTAGCCACACATAATTATAAAACTTAGTTTTCTAGGTGGCCTTTACATTTTAAAAAATATTGTCCTTTTTTTTCCTCCTTAAAAACACTCAATGGGCTTAATGTCATATGTAAATAAACCACATAGATATGTTTCTGTAACATTTAGGAAAGAGCGAATGGACTTTTAGAATGTTCTCCTAGCTTGGGCAAGTTGACTTATAAAACACCAAAATGAAAACTGTTAACTACCATAGAAAACAATGACTATGATATTCCAATATACAGATAAGATCACCGTTCTGGTCAATGCCTCCTAGGGGCAAATAGCACTTAATTCTGTGGCCCAGAGGTAAATGTAACCACAAATCGTAAATCCTGTTCTATTCTGTACAATAAAAATAATTTAAAATTTTATTAAATAATATCCTCCCAAATGTTAATAATTCTAACTGTTGTTGTAATACAGAGGACGTCACCCTTCTCTTGAGTCACCATTCTTCAGAAACCTCTAAGAAGGTTGCAAAACTCTTTTATCGATAGCCATAGATGTTAGCAATGGTCGGTTTTTCCAACCAGGTTGGAGTGTTTTAATTTCTTGGCATCTTAGTAATCTTGCATTCTTATACTTCTCTTAATATGCCTGTCACAATCAAGTCTTGGAACACCAGCTTGGTTCTGTTCTCACTCTTGAATATGCTTATGACTGTAATTATTAATTCTTTCCAACAACAGAAGAGACTCCATCAGTCTTTTTGTTCCTTTTGCCTTGCCTTGGAGCTCTGTGATATAATTAATAATGATTTGGTAATTATGCAGGCCTCTGTTTTAAAAGTTTCGCAACTTTGGGTCTTCCGTGCCAATCATAGGGGGAAACTTTCAAGGTGAGAGACTTGCTATTTAGTAGAGAATGACCTTTTCTTCCTGTTTTTTTGAGATAAGGTGTCTAGATCTCACTTCTTTCTTCTTTTTTTTGTAAAAAACAAGCTTCAGCTTATCAGAGAAAAACATTCAGTTTGAATTATTAGAGTGAGAATTTGTTACCTGAGGTCATGGATCGGGAGTGCCTGTGGTGAAACATATGCACTGAATATGCCAAAAGAACTTGGGCCTAATATCAAACTGACACAACAGCTCTTTGGAACAAATGTGCAGTGAGAAGGGGCGTTGGTTCTTACCTGATACGCTTCTTTTCGTAGAGCTGTTGAGAGTGTCCAGGTTGGGAGGAGCTCCAGTCTCGGCTCTTCCAGGCTGAGCTTGAAAATTGAGGAACGCCCCCTCACCGTCACATGGTCCTCGGGCACTCCCCAGGTTTTTGCACAGACGAGAAGGAAAGTCCTGTTCTCATCACACTCAGGAAAAAAATATATTAGATTGCTCGGTCGAACAGCCAGGTTTCCCACCAGACGGCCTACGGGTGGGGCTGGACACTCTCAACAGCTCTACGAAAAGAAGCGTATCAGGTAAGAACCAACGCCCCTTTTCCATAGAGCTGTCTCGAGTGTCCAGGTTGGGACATACCAAAGCTTGGCTAGTCCTGCGGGTGGGGCCCCGTCTGGTATAGAATCTCTCCTGGAACCCTGATGACCCGCTGGAAGGCATGCCCAACAGGAGAAAACCCCTGGATATTGGAATGTCTCAAGAAGGGGCCTAAAGAGGAGGCGGAGCTATCCGGGAGGAAGTCCCGCCAAAGAGGCCAACAGGTGTGCACTGGGACCGGGATTCAAGAAACTGGGAAGATCGACCCGTGTTGGGAATTCCCCTGGGAGAACTCTGGGACAGAGAGAAGGAGGGGAGGCGCAGGGATCTGTGTGAGGCCCGGGAGCGCAAGAAGGGACCCCGGCTAGCATTGAATGGGGGTAGATGTGTTGCCGACCAGTTGCCCAGGGCAGGGTGAGGAGGACAAGAGTGCTCCTGGGGTAGGAGCCTGTTGCAAGCAGGGGT